CTTGAGCCAAATATAATCCGTAAGCTGTCTTCCGAAGTGAAACAACTGAGCCTCTGAACGTCTAGTCTAGGAGGCCTCTGCTACTGACTCTGCTGGGTCTCTGGGGTCGGTTTCTTTTAACTAGAGTTATCAAGTTATGAAGTTATGTTGGCCTAGTCTGATTTGTTCTTGCATGCTCATTTCACAATGGCGGTTTCGGGGGCAGATCCTGTGATCTTACACAGGCTGGGCTCATGAAGATTTGTTTTATTGGATGGATGACCCATGCGGGCACAGTTTCTATGTGTTCGTATGCCAGCTCGTCAAGGAAAACATATTGGCATACGATCACAACGGTGAGACGTGAACGATCCCTCGGCCTACTGCTTGCGTGATCGCAGAAAAGCGAAGGCGGCGAGTGCCGCCCCAATGGTGCCAACCTTGGTTCGTCAAGCTCGGCGAAAGCTTCCAAACATTGCTTCGGCAACCACAGCGTAAACATGGTAATTAACTTCGCCGAACTGCAAGCAGCACGGTGGCAACTACAGTTTGCGAAGCTGATGATTTCGCTGCTTCCTGGCACAGCTTTGGAAGCACTGGCTAAAACATCAAACAAGCTCGATTCAAGGCAGCAACATTCGGTGCGTTTCTGCCTGGACCTCAGGATTCGGTATTCCTTGATCTTCAGTCCAGCCCGCTCCACGATGACCTTCGACCTGACGCCCGTTCACAAGCCCATCCGTTTGACAAAGCTAGCTTCTCATTGCATGCTTGGTCTATGCCAATGTGCAGCCCTCAGACTAGTTGGTTGAGTTGTCGAACGCATGCGTGCCAAAGGGGCATCTTAGAGCATGTTCCTTTCATTGAGCATGCCTTGTGTCTATGATTGAGGTTGATTGATCGTTTGATTCTCCAAACTCTCTGATGAAGCAGAATGAAGACATCCACCATCCTGGGCATCCAACTTCTTTCATGAAAACCTCTGAGCAGATCTGGCAGGTCCACTGATCCCAGCTGTTCTTGAACCCAAGAGAGCTCTAAGACTCTAAGAAGTGGTGATGGTCTTGATGTTTCGCGATGGTTTCCCGCTGCGTTGCTTCTGCATAAATTTGCACCAGCATGCGCTTTTTTGCTCAGCGGGAGGACAGGTCACACGCGGTTGGATCAGAGTGGGATGCGATGTCGTGGCATGCTGTGACGCGAAACAGTGTGGGAGACTGAACGGCTAGCAAAAGCGGGACGGAATACAAACAAGAACATCGTTGCCGAAAGAACAAGCTCAGCTGGGGACTTGTTGTTCACAGCCCTCCAACATGCCCTTCAGGACAATCGCTTCCTCAGCTCGAGCCTGTTCCGAGTGGAGGGCATCCTGCACCAAACGTTGTGCTGGCATAGCCGCACAGCTCTGACTCCGACCACATGTGCCTCGAACTCCCCGGAAGCATCCCTTCCAGCAACATCCTGCAGGAGGTGTGCACCTGGACGAGGGATCTGGTCTCCGCCGCTGCTCAAGCTTCGACCGTTCTGATGGAAGACATGTGTGGCCTCCTGGGTGATCAGGCATGAACTTGGAAACATCGTAGACCAAACCATGGATCGCCATCCAAACATCACCTTCGGAGTTGTGCTTCTTCAGTTCTTCATGGCTGACGACCTTCATCGTCGTGCGCAGGACAGGGCACCACAAGCCTGAACCCTGGCAGCTACAGGTGAAGCCCCCCCTTCCACGGAGAGTTCATACACAATCACAGCACGCTGTCATCGCAAGGCCAGCACTTTCGCTAGCTGCCCGTCACTTGCAGGGCTGCAAACCGGTTGGTGCTACGGTAGTTGGGGGTTAAGCTTGCACTACCCAGATGCCGGCTCATCATGACACCACTCAACATTGCCAGAAGTCCGCATCCGCTTTCTGATTCTATCGGTTCTAAACAGAGCAAGCGGCGCACTCTCTATTTTCGTCCTGACCACTTAAACTGGTGCAGGATATCCTGGATATCCTCCATCAAAAGCACCAAAGAAAGTACCAGTCAGCATCATTCGAACCGAGTTATAGAAGCTTCTGCGAGTGATTGCGTTTTGGAGCGAAGTGCCTCCAAAGGCTTTTCAACAACTTTTCTAAAGGCTGGACATGCGGTCCTAGTGCTTAGTTAACACTGCACAACACAATAATTAGCATGCATGGAAATAGGGCATGCGCAACGGATGGAACAATAGACCACCTTACTGGGGGCCTGTGCGATAGAATGCAGTTTCTGCAGCATTTGCGGGTGTTACCCGTGGGAAAACCAATCAATGACCATTGTGCCATCGTGCTTTGTCACGGCCACCTGGAACTTTTTCTGAAAGAACTGCGCACCAGCTGTTTACATTGTAAATGATATGCCCGAGCGACTGGAGAAAGATTTTCGTCAATGAAACCCGGTACAATTCTGGTCTGGTAACTGGATATTAGGGTAAACAGGGGGTTGCGGAACTGGTGCTGGTTACCCTCTTCCTGACTACCTAAACTGGTGCAAGACTTCCTCGATCAGCAATAGCATCTTGCACACTGGTTGCTACAGGTCTCCGCTGCAACCTGCTGCCCACCCCGTTCTTTTTCCGGCCGGTCCGCCAAGTGAGTGCAAGGAGTTATCCGAAAAGCTGCATTACCTCATCCAGCCGTAAGAAAAAAAGCTGGTTTAGTTTCCATCCGACTACCAGGTCCACTTCTGCTTTCTTGCACTTTTCCTACGGACCTTCTTGACCGCAGGGCGTCGCTGCAGGGATTCCCGGGTCAGCGACTGTGGCTCGTTAGGTAGGACTGCACCAACCTGGGTCTCCAGCGCGTCTATATCCACACCCAGCTTTCGCGAAGCAGCGGCAAGTTTCAACAACTCAAAGACCCCGAGCTCTCCCAAGCCACCAGGGCCGAGCACTCGCAAGATCTTCTGTCGGAAGCCGAGTGGCATCTCGTAGTCAACTTTGGCTAGTGCATGTAAGAGTTTCACCGCATCGCGCGTAGTCAGCTCTTCTTCAGGCCTTGCTACCAAAGAACCAAGCACTGCACTGAACAGCCTCGCAGGGGCAATGTGAACCTTGGCAAAAGCATGTATGATGTTGATGAGCGATGGCGAATCCAAGATTGCAATAGCCCTTGTGTCACTGCTCTCGCTTTTGCTAGCCATAAACAGATCCGCAAGAGTTTCATACAATTGAGAATCTCTGACTTGAAACTTTCCAAATGCCATCGTCAGTGCCGAAAGCTCAGCAATGGTGGCCTGTGTCAGATCGCACAGGTGACGGTGAGTGACTTCCTGACTTTCTGCTGCCGTCGTGACCGTGGGCCGGCGGAGCATCTGGACGGCTCGGCCAGTCAGAACAGGACAGCTGATGCCGGCTTTTGCGAGAGAAGCCAGGGTAGAGCTCATCAAAGAAACGTCCAAGGCATGCAAATGACGCCGCACCTGAACTGAGAGCAAGTCTAGCAGGGCAGTATCTTGGCTCGTAAACTTCGCAAAGCCGTAAAGAACATCTGACAGCTCTGCTGGTGTGAGTCCACCTCGGATATCCTTGTCTCGGAGCCTGCCGGCCAATGTGGCAAACATCCTTTCATGATGGACTCGCACGACGGCAAAAGCCTTCGCTGCACATGCGCAGTCGCCCGCGGTTAAAGCATTGGGCTGGCGCCCGAGCGCATCACCGATCCCCAACAGCAAAGCCGACACTTGACGGTCACCTCGCATCCTGAAGCACATAAATGCCTTCAGTAGCTTGCACATCTGGGGCAGCGTGAAGAACGAGAGGTGCTCCAAAGCGACTCTTGCTGCCCCATCAATAAGTTCAGCTCGACTGCCCGATTGACTACTACTGTCGTCAAGGTCTTGCGGTAAGCATCCTTCCACGTGCATTTCTGCCAGCGAGAGCAGAGAGCTGGAGAGGCATTCTGCAGTGGCACGCGATTGCCGAAGAAGCTCGAAAAGTGCGGCTTCAAGGGCTCTCAGGACACGATCATTGCGGAGCCGCAGCTGCGCATGCGAAAGAAGCACCAAGACGAGGCTTTCACCGTCAATCAATCCTTGCTGAGCTGCAGACGCAGCCATGTCACCCAAATTGTACCTGAGCTGGTCTGTACTAACTGTAGGAGTCTCCCACTCCATCCCTACCAGTACTTGCTTACAAAACAGTTGTTCAGGACGAGCAGATCCTTACGGCAAGAAGCATGAGCTCATTGTCGTGGTGACGAACAGATACGGCAGCAACTGCAAAGGATGCCAAATCTTGAAGTTTCGCGTCGCTCCCCAGAAGCCGCTGAGCGTGTAAACTGCACTGCCTCCAGAACTGAGGATCTGCATGATTGCTCTGGGCGGCGCTGCGGGCCACCAACAGCAGAGTCGCAGAATCGTTTATGCTCCCAGGCTTATACACTAAGTGTGCAGGCAATCCAGGCCCGTCCGCAGTGGTCGAAAATCGTCGCGACAGAGAAGCAGCGTGGTGCAGAGTTCTCGGAAGTTGTCTCGCTAGTTGCTCAGGTTTGCCACCAACTCTCCGCTGCAGAATAAACTGGAAAACGAAGGTTTTGGCCGTCTTCTTTGCCCAAAACGCCAGCATGTTCACAGAGATGCTCTCTCCTCTTTTTAGTAGACTGCATGGACGGCATGCGCCACATCTGGACAAAGCGGGCTTCTATTGAGCAGTGCTTTATTGCTGAAGCTGCAATCGTGCCTGCTGCTGTCAAGGTGCAGTGTTGTGGAACTGCACCGTCAAGCAGTTGCAACCCTCGAAAAGACTGGCTTCAGGAAGGCACGCACTTGCTGAAAGCTGCAGGATTTCAGTAGGCTCGAAACAGCGAGCTACAAGAAACACATCTCGAAAACTTGGACAGCCAATGAGCGACGGGCCACGGCGCTGTCGTACAGACTTTAAGACTTCCCTTGCTGTGATACCCGCGAGGCCTCCTTCCGAAACACGCTTAGTGAGCCATTTGCAACCATTAAAAAACGGAATTGGTGCTGTCGGGGCGCCCTGGTTGACACCATCCCAACCATTCGGTTCCCGAGCCACCACACAGATTGTTGAGGTTTGCTTGGGCGAGGGGTGGGAGTTTCGTTCTTTCGACTCCGAGATAAGACAGGACCCCGTAATGCATCAGCCCACATGAAGTTCTGTCATGTGTCTCTTTGCATGTTGTCATAAGGATTTGCGGGTTAAGTCGCATGGTTGAACTAGATGCGGGGCCACTTTTGCGATTAAATTGTCACCAGTCAGATCCAGCCGCTCGGTGAGACCCAAAAGCGACGTCACCTTCCATTAAGTAGCCCGGACACAAGTGGCAACAGAACCCTGACAGCATCCCCACAAAATAAAACCTAGCAGGTCTGGCTAACCGCTATCACGGGCGACGAAGTCTTGAACCCTGATTCTCAGCACCAACACAATCGAACTTTGTCCTCCCTGCGACTGTTGCACGTCCTGCCGATGCCCGTTCACTTCTTGCTGCTTGATCATAAACCTATCATACCTGAGACAGTCTTGAATGTCTGGGCAGGATTTATTATTCCTGAAGCGCTGTACCCCCGTGAACAAAGACTGGCAAGACCGCTGCTGACCATGTTGCAGGGGCATGCCTTTGTACAGAAACTGCAATGCTTCGCACAGGTCTCCGTGCGAATGGGTGCCATCCAGACCTGCGTTATACACCTTGCCACATCAAGCCAGGACATGCTGCGTCGACAGGGAAAACTCGTCCTGTAAGCTCATGCCGAGACACCATCGCCAAACCTGATATGTTGTTCAAGCAGCATCTGTGCTGGTGTAATGCTGTTCAAGTCCCACGCGCCTGCTGCTTTGAAGTCAACGAAGCTCTGCTCACACTCGTTTGAAGACAAGAGTTCCGAAAGCAATGCGTCGCGTAGATGTGCATAGCTTTCACCTGGGCCGTGGATGGCAAGTTGTGTTCAAAAAAGAATCGTTTTCAGGCTGCCCGGTCTTCTCCTCTCAACTTTCGAGCCGCTCGTGGCTTGGGCCGCGGTGGCTACCAGGTCTTTGCTTTGCTTTGCTTGGGGCATGAAGCGCCAGCAGTGACGCCCATGGTTTGGAGGGGCTCGGCTGCACAAGGTGCCGACTGTGAACAGTAGCCCAGGTGGGGCCGTTGGCCGGCTCGCAACGGTAAGGCAAAGAAAATGCCGTGCTTGAAAGGAAAAACATGCTGAAATTAAGGTTCTTGCTTGGAGCGCGCGCCCCCGATCACGAATTGACGAAGATATCTAACATCTATAGAAGCCGACGCGTCCTCTACTGTTCGGTCAGCGGCAGTAGGGTGGCTCTCGGCTCCTGGGTTTCCCAGTGTAGACGCATGTGTGCGCGGTGGTGAAGCAGGCTCCGCTGGCCGTGTGTGTCCTGGTACCCATCCAGGTGGTTGTGGTACCACTGCACTTTGTCTCCCACCACTCGCGAGTCCCAAGGTGGTCCTCCAGCACAAAGGACCTGGGCTCCCTTTCGCCATGCGCCTGCAAAGCTCTGCGCTGTGTCACAGCCTGTTCCCGCGCTGGGCCCCCTCCTCCTCTGGAAGACGAGCCCATGTGTGAGCTGGTGCGGCTCCCACTGTGCGCGCCCACGGAAGCGCGGCGTCTTCTCGGGTTCCAGTGGGCTGTTTCTGGCTCGCGGTGTGGTGCCCTGGGCGAGGTTGCTGTCCCTCTGCTTTGGGCCCCTTCCGGCTCTGTGGTTTTCTTCGCCGCCTTCTCCTTATTGCGGTCTCCCTCTTCTGTCCAGCTCCTTGTGCGTCTGACTCCTTGTGTCCGGGGGTGTCCTGCTGGCATTCTATTTTTTCGTGATACCCTTGGACTTTTTCTTGACCTCTGGTTTGGTACTTGAGCTCGTGCTTGACAGAAGACGAGGTCGAAGAGAGTGCGTTTCGCAGAGTAGTTTAGTGCTGTTCTTCGGAGGCCTCGCTCTCGACTTCGACGTGGTTATACGTGGTGCTTTGGGTCTTGCTGCGTGTGGTTTGCGGGTCGGTGTCCTCGAGGTCTTGGTGAATGCCCCAGCAGCATCTGTTCTTCTCGGTTTGGTAGGAGTCTTTTGCTTTGAGGCTTGCCCCAAGTCGTGTCGGCGCGCGATGTTCTCCAGCATGGCCTTGGTTGTGTCATCGGAGCCCGGTCTTGAGCGGGTCTTCGCCATTGCTTCTTGTAGCAGCTCCCTTGCTGCTCCGCCCTGGCCGAACTGCCGTATCGGACGCAGACGGGTGCCTGCCTGTCGTGGCCCCCCTGCTCCTGGTCCCAGAAGGCATTGTGGGCAACAACGGGTTTCATCGATCATGAGGGGTTCTTGCCTGTGTGCAGATGCGCCCCGTTCTGGGTTTGCCCCTCTCTGGGACTCTGTATTCCCCACGTAGTTTGTGGATCTCCTTCTTGGTGTCCCTGCCACTGTCACGTCTGCTCCGTTGTTGGTGTCCCCCGCCAGTGGGTGCACGATGGTCTCCTGTTTCGACGGGATCACCGTGGGTCCTCGTGGAGATGGCGTCTTCCTAATGCCGGAAGACCCTTCGTGCCCCCACCAGGTTTCCCCGGTTGACAGCCGGGGGACCCCACAAAGGTGAGAGACACGAAAGGGCCTCAGAAGAGGTCTCAGTGCGCCCTCGGAGGGGCTCTTGCACTTCGGAAGGTAGTCTCAAGCCTCCCACCAGGTTTTTCGCAGGTGACAGCCGGGAGTCCCGCAAGGGCGGGAGACTTGAGCCAAACTGCTACCAGATCTTCTTCTTCCTTCAGGCGTAAGGGGCTCATCACGCCCCCCGGCCCTTCGGGCCCCCCAGCGTGCATGAGGCTTTTCGGGGGTTCGGCAGCGCAGCTCTACCCCACGCACCCACGTACCTCTGAAACTCGCGGTCCCCCGAGTGTGCTAAGGAGAACCAACCAAGCCGACTAACGAACCATGAAGGGATTGGAGTTTCGTGGTACAGGGCACCTGTTGTCATGTCCCCGGTGTTCGGGACGAAGCGCGGCCTCTTCCATCTGACTGGAAACCGAAAGCAGAACAGAAGACCATGTTAAATCGTGAAAAGAACGTGGGCCTCATGCTCCCCCGTCTGGCAAACAGCATGCATGCATGGAAACCCATTATCAGCTACTGTTGTCAGGCCGAGAGCGGGGTATTCAAGCAGCAAGATACCTAGCAAAACTGAAAAGGCTACCGGAGGTCAGCTCGTGTCCCCCCTCTCGGCTGTTCTCTGTAAGTGTGAGGTTGCGTAGTGGGAGATACTCTTAGGCTGCGGCCGACAGTAACAACAAGCATCAGCAACAACCCTAACTTCCCCCGAGTCTCCCCCTTTCACGCCTGGGACTACTGTAAGACATGCGGTCTGAACGTTCGGGCCACTACACAGCCTCGTTGTTCAGAAGCTACGAGAGGAGGCGCCTCTGTGTGTCAGTCCCCCACAGAAAAATCGCAAAGGAGGCGTGGGAATTAACAAAAGACGAACAAAATTATAGCAGTAGGCAAAGTGTCGGGGCCTCTTCTCTCGGTCTTGAACAGTGGTTTGCAGGATTTGAGGCGCGGGCGAAACAAGCTGAAAACAAAGACTCCATGAAAAACCCCCAGAGGAATCCCACGAAATCAAATCCTGAAAGCCTTGAGAAGTGTGCAAGTATTGACGTCAACTTCTCTGGGCATGTCCGGGAGGCAACGGGACAAAGCCGAATGTGCCTACTCAGCTAGGTACCAGATCTCTCTCTCTCTCTCTATCTCTCTCTGTCCTTCTCTGCATACAGCTTGGCGAGATGCCATGCAGCAAGCTGTTGACGAAGTCAGATGCCCCCTGGCTGAGACCGCAAAGCTGCCTTGACACAAGACAGCTTGGCTGCATCAGGCGAAAAAGACAGGATATGGCACACCGGCGATTGTGCCCATCAGTAAGTTCAGGTTTGGGATTAACGTTAAGTGATTTTGAGTTTTGGGTGTATTCTGATAGCCCGTCCGAAGTTGGATCGGACTAAGCACAGCGGCAGATTGCAGTGAGGCCACTCGTGATTCCGAACGCAATTCAATCAAAACTATACCCGCTGCCAACGGACGAAGGCCAACTGTTGGAAATCATGACATGGAAAGAAGGCCTACAGGACCCTTCAGGCATTCGGCACTCTCAAGAGCACTAGCTCGCACACGATCCCTATCAACTGCAGTGCAAGCCTGTCGTCTCCAGTGTCGCCATCACCTTCGTGACCAAGCGCCTCTTCGAGCATGTCTGGCCATGTCTCTGTCTGTGTGTGTGTACACCCTGATTCT